TTCTTCTGCTGTTTGTTCACTTGAACTTCAATTTATTTTGCTCAAATCTTGGGTAGTTCTTTACTCATACAATGTATATGTACGTACGCTAAATTTCTTGAATTCATTGGTGCTTGTTTGTTGTTAAGCGCAAAGCTACCCAATGGACTATCTGTGATATGCCCACCACGAGAATCAAAAACCCGATTGTTTTAGCGTTAGAAGCCCTCAGACTTACCGCTTGAATTTACAGACAGCTCATTTTCCTATAAATGAATTTCTTAAATTTCTTGAAGAGAAACCTGGTCAGAAGAATATACTATAAGTTACGTTGACATAACATGAATTAAGCACATTAAGCCTTTTCTTATAACACTTGTACAATGATATAATCAACGAATGTTGACTTGATCAAACACAAGGATAAAATACTTTTTATGACATGCATTTATTGAACCCTACAGTAAAACTACATTCTTGAATAACAGAAGAATTGAAGCAAAAAGAAAACATCTCTACAACTATATAATAGCTTAGAACAACATCATTGTAATTTCTAGCAGTTTAAGTCATTTCTGTCTTTTGCTGCATCTTAACATTCTACGTCCTATTTTTAAGTTTGCTGTTGCGTAACAAGATATTAGGTGTTCCTGCGAAGTCAGTGTCGGTACCATGTAAATCATATTATACCACATACATTAATGTTAAATTATATCGTAACTAGCGGTATGTGTACGACTGCGTCTTCGGTCTTCGACGAGAAACTTTGAAATTATAAGATCCAAATTATCCGAAAAATAGTAAATCGGGATAAGAATTTAGTTACTGAATTGGAATTATTGTGTGTATTGTTAAGATGCCAAGAGTTCACTACTAAGGGAATTTCGTATCAGATTTATGGGTTTTGTTGATACAAATACCATTAAACTATTTCCCTTCAGTTTGTTCAACTTTCCAGCTGCTTCAAACATCCTGCTTTTATTAACGTTTATCACTGAATTAAGAAACCTAACATCTTGTATTAAACAACAAAGTTGATATTAAGCCTTCATGATATAAAAAAGTTTCAGTTGCTGTATCAGCTGTCATCGGGTGAGTTAATGCAGTAGAAAGATGGTACACGATGGATCTAGTGTTATTCTTAAGTGAGTGGACTTGTAGCACAATAAATATTTCATCTAAACTGTAGGGCTGTCAGTTCTAACTAATCTAAAACAATGTATAATAGATATGCAGTAACAGGTTTAACTTAATATTTGCATTTATGTCTACTTATGATTTCTATGAAGTAGTCTTTCTTTTTGTCTTGAAAATATTGTACATAACCCCAGCTACAACTACTAACTTAACTAACAGATATTTTGATTTCATCTTCATTTCTACTAAGCAACGAACGGTTTATATAAACTCAAAAATAAATAAAGCTAACCTGGTCTGCAAGTTGATCTAACGACCTGAGTAAGGGGAAGCAGGACTGAAAAAGTGAGTTTGAGAAGATATTCATGCGATGAAAAAAAGAGAGTTAAAACAATGTACTTCATTAGTTTCTTTCTAAAGAGTCTCACATTTATATGCTTTGCAAAAATTAATTTCAAAATTGCCTTACCTTAATTGAATTAGCTTAGGATCCAAAAAGACGATTACCAAAAAAGGTGTGACAATATGAGTAGTTAGTGAATTGGCAAAATAGAAACAGATTAAGAATTAAGAAAACGTGAGACCTTTTAGGAAGTTTGTAAACTAGATTTCATGAAGCATATATATAAAATAAATCAGACAACTATATTCAACTGTAATTCTGAAAGGCCATTGTGATACTTTATACTTAAGTAAGTATTTGGTATGTTCAAGAACACTTTACTTCATGTGACACATGAGCTAAACGATCTTGTCACAGACTTCAGTTTGTAAGCATATTAATCCCTTATTTAGAACTGATGATTACACGGATGTCAACCAGTAGGCAGCAGCTCCCTTAGCTTTCACCACTACTCTTAACCAACTAACGGGATTAACTAACATAGCTATAGCGCCTTTAGATATGAAACTGCGGAGTGTGTTCAGTAGTATATTGCAATCCGAACCTTGGACCTTCCTATCTATATCTAGGCACACTAACCATAAGCAGCGCCTGGCCCTTTATTACTTGAAACAGAAAATCTTTAACAGCGAATTTAAAACAATTTTATAGTAATTCCATTGTAGCACTTTTGTTTCTGAGTTTACAGCTTAACAAAGTAATGCATTGGCAACACTATTTCAACCGTAATTAAATAAAGTTCACATTATAGCATTAAGGTTCTTGAAACAAATCTAAAATGTGTGTTTAAAAGTTATATGGGTCTTTTTTTCGCACATTAATTAAAATGCACTTGTGAAAAACAAATAGACACTACTCCACGGGAGTTAAAGTTACTTTATCAACTAGAAACCTCGATACCGGAAAGCTTTCCAGATTGAGGACTTAACGAAATTACCATATATTTATTGCAGTTTTGTAAATATTCGCATGTGATGCAGTGTTTAATAACCTGTCATATGTTTAACTATGCTTTGAAATACAATTATAAGTTTGCTAGCACTTAACTTGATTAAAGTTTTAAGGCTTTCATATAAAGCAGCAGTAGTACCTTTATACCAGCTACTCAGTATAATAATATCGAAGTGACACATACTATAAAGAGGTTTCATATGTCACGTAAATAACATAATACGATATACAGTTTAATTATGCGTATGAACTTTGCACTACGTATTGCACCCGTGGTCACTAGTATGTATTGTTGATTTTTAGTAGTTATGTGACGGTTGATTTCGATTTGTTATTAAAAGCTATTACTGTTTTGGTATGTATGACCTTCAATGCAGTATATGGATAAATGCTGGGTCTGCTTATTAAAAATCACACATTGTTGGTAGTTACGACCTTGAGTTAGTTCCAATATCAATAAATGTACTCAAATGTGGGAAAACGACTGATTACTGTTTTTAATGGCCATATTTATTTATATTTCACCAAGTAATGATGACGCATTTTTTGTGAAGAGTTTATCTTGTTCTTATAAAGCACATAGCATATAGCTTTAACGTGAGTGAATAATAAAAATACACACTAGCAGGAGTTTAAACATCTCAATTACATAGTCGTATCTGAAATCAGTATTAGCTCAGGCAATAATCACATTAATTCATTGTTTCGCGAGAGATGTATTCATTGCTTGTAAAAGAACAGCTACATTCGTGAGCTGAGAAATCATGAGCAGAATTTTACAGATACCACAAATAAAAACAGAAATAATACAACGTAGTTGAATTAGATACGATTGAGTTATACCAATTACCTTTAAAAGCACATAGGTGGATGGTTAACATCCGCGCTAAACGAAACAGGAAATCTTTGAAGAATAACAATGATTAATGAACAGATGCATCAGACGTTGTTGGAAGGCCTGCCAGGACTGGAGATTCATCAATCGAAGAACACACACGGATCAATGTTTGAATTAATTTTCTTGAACCTAAAAGTTAATTTTCAATATGGCCGAGGGATATATAGGTTGTTGCTACAAGAAAGATTATATGTCACAGATATCGAAGGACGCAAGGAATGTGTTAAGCTTCGGAAGGAAGAATGCAATTTCTTCACGAAATAATTCAATATGGGATGGAAGCTGAAACATTTCAGTCTGTCATTAGGTCAGTTTAGTGTGTCATTACTCTTCTGTCAGTGTTAAGAGTAATTGTTCGTAAAATATTTAGACATATTAATAAATAATTATAAACGTTAAGTTTATGTAAATGCATGATTAGTTATACGAACATGTGATTGCTCAGATTTAATTTCTGGAATATTTTTAGTCTAATATTTTTATCATTTACGTAAGTATAGAATAATTAATACTACCTTGTAACTAAATATAGAGAATGCATTACGTAAACATATTGCTTTAGCTGATTTGTACGTGTTAACCCTAAACGTTGTTCAATACGAATGCTTAATTTCTCTTTATAGCAGTTTTAAGGTGAATATTACTGACCTGGTACGTTTTATGTAAATTATATAATGAAAAACTTTACAAATTAGGTTTTATATCCATATTGTCAAACAAAAGTCTGAGGGACGTTACGTGTCTTAAATTGTCTTATATGATTTGTTTCCTTGAATATACTTGGTGCATTTGAAAATGTATAATTATATATTATGAACCCTCGCTGTAACATAAGATATTAAATGCAACATATACATGCTCAATTATATGTTTACTGAAAACAAAACGCTGAGGTAAAAGAAAAACAAGTGGTTATTAGCTCAATTTTTTATATTCTTTAAATCAGTGTCTCTGTAGTTTATTTTACAATCTAAGATCCGGCATGGCTTCATTGCAGAAAGAACAATTTTAAATTATTACTCAACACATACTAAGGGAAGACTATGATTTCATAAAAATATCCGAACTTAATACATTGTCTGTCTTCTTTGTGATTTGAATATATTTAAACAATCAATTTAAAACGATTTTACAGTAATTCTATTATAGCCCTTATCGACAATATACAGCAGTAACATTTTCTACTTGTAGACACACACATAAGAATTGTATACGAATTTTATCAGAACTGAGATTTTCAAGTTTTGTCCTGATCTCTCTCTCTCTCTCTCTTCTTTTTCTTTTTTTATACGTATGCACTGCGTAGACCTGAAAGTTCTGTCTGATATGGTGTTGATTTTTCTACAAAAATTAAAAATCTGTTTCAGTTTATGTTACTGGTCTTAGGCTACCAATCGTTAAATTTCAATCTTTCGTCAAACAGCATATCCTATTCTTTACTTTTATGTTTATTTTTATTTGACACTATAAATTAGAACAGCTTGTAATAAAATTTATTCTGCTTAAAAATCATCTATCCTAAAAAGTTTAACTAGAGACTCTGAGTTTTATTAGGCTTACATTTATATAATTATAAAATTTCATGTTATCTCAATGCAAATAAACAAAACCAAAAAAACTTTAAACTTATAAGAAAGTTCAAAGAAGTTTTTATTATCATTTGAAAAAATACATGGAAATAAATAGTTGCATAAATATCCATTAACGAAATCCCATAAAGTTGGTTTTTTAGTATATGACTTTAAGGGAGACTTATATAACTTGAGAATTCGATGGTGAAAACACAAGTTGACCCACAGGTTTTTCTGATCTTCTCACTTCACTACCACATTTCCTTTGTTTGTTTTTTGTGTGAGTAAAGCACTGTGGATAACTTCAAAGTCTGTGTTTGCAAACTTGGCACATAAATCTTGGCACGAAGTTTAAATTGACAAGGACATTTCATTTACCATAAATTATGGTCAAAACAAATTCAAAAAATATAAGGCATAAAAAGACACAAATACTAAATTTATAAAGACTAATAATTCATGAGTATCATACAACGTATTTATTGCACAAACAATAAGCCTTCATAAAATAAAAATGAACAAATACACCTCAGAACTTTTACACGCACAATAACGAGTATACGAGGAAAGGTTTAACCTTCGTGTATAGTAGGAGTATTCGCTAAACGTCACAATTACTTTCTTCTTAAAAGTAGAAATAACAAGTAATTGTCTGCATAATAACAAATACATTATTAGAAATCTTACAGTATTGTTTATCAGATATCGTTGTCTGATTGCTAAGGCTATGTATGATATTATGTTTACCTGTCTAATTAAAATGTAAGATGTAACAAACAAAACTTATACTAATAATGCTGTTCTAGTAGTAGTGCTTATTATTTCATATGAGAAACAGTAATATATATATTATCCAAATTTGTTTTCAGGTTATCGTTTACGACAGAAATATGTTACATTTATTTCTTTAATTGTTACGATGAAATGTACAACTTTCTAAAGAGTTTATGTTATAACGTTAGATTGAATGTAATTACGTGAGAATGTATATGTTTACAAAATATTGTAAAATTACATCTTCATCTATACTTTTATTTAAAGACTTTTAGAGTATTATATCAGATATTATCTGGTGTGGTATTCTAGACGCACTTACTAGACTATTACATCTTGCGATTACTTTTAATAGGGTTATACAACAAACAGTTAAGTAATCTTACACAAAAATTGTTACATAAAACAAATTTTTAAATAATTTCTACTACTACTTGTAAACATACAAAACAGTTCCTCAAAATACTTAATATGCTCGTTTGAAACCTATTTGGAAGACAGAATCATTGGCATATTATGGACAAAACAGTCTCTATGATACTTAACCATAAACTACAATCTTTATCTTTGGTATAATGAAAACATTCACTCTTTAGGTGACTAATTATTAGAGTCATCTAGGTTAACTCTTTTCTTATATTATAAGTATCTTGTAGTTTGTACAATTTTAAAAGAGTCCTATAAACTTACACTAATTACCTATAGAACGTTGAAAAACAAAAATGGTTGCTGGTGTATAACAGCTAAGCCGGAGAAATAAGACATCTTATCAGTGGGTAATATGTGTGATATTACATACCAACAAAACTTGTAAACGACTAACAAAACAATGGTGTTCAACTACTTTGTATATTATAACCCTTCGGCTTGATGATGTGTGATGTTAAGTGAAAAGCCTTGTTTGACGTATATGGTAAAAAGTTTGTTTCAAAGGTTATTATTTAGTCTTCTTACTGGAAACGCGTTTTGGGCCAGTAAATATAGATGTGGAAAAAAATTGTATCAAACTTATTGTGTGGTAATATTCTACCTATAATACGTACTGATAAAAACAGTTTAATATTTAAATATAAGAATGTTTAGGAGGACGTACAGTTAAACGGTAGAAAGATTGTCAAAAACCTGAATTGAAAAGGTTGACAGTCGAGAATTCAATATAACTTCTAGGAATTATTACGTTTCAAGATAATGTATTTTAATAGCTGAATTCTCTAAATATTGTAATTACTATATGTTTCTGCATGGAAGTAGTTCTTTTAGTGTAAAATTTGTGGGCCTTATTGGATAAAATGTTTACTGGTGACCACAATAAACAAGTGACATTACGTCATGTGGTTCGTTTTTATTTTTCGATTTTCATTCCAAATATTGTTGTAAAGGCTTGTAAAACACATTTTTTCCAACAAATTTCAAAGAATAAACGAAATGAAATAAAAGGCATGTATATCTTAGCATAAACTTATAAAAAGTCGTTTCTTTGTTCCCAAAACACTTCCAGCAGTAAATTTGCTGAGAGAGCCTCCAACAAAATAGAAAGATATACAAATTATTAATCAAATACAAGAGGACGGCCTAATAACGTTAATAAACCAGCTTTTAGAAACAGGGGTTATACTACATCAGACTAGGGGGCACTCATCTACAAGAGATTCATCTCGCTAGAAAAGCAGCAATTTTCAAATTCAAATGGCACATTATTGTATAAGCACAGAAACGTATAAAAAGCTTTGTACATGACAAATACCACTTCTCCTATTTGGATCTATATTACACTAAACGCTAAATTAAAAATGGTTTAAGAACGTAACAAATCTAAAAACAAATCGACAAAATAGCAAATAGTAATGTCAACTAAAAATTTGCAACGATCCCATAAACATAAACTCACACACTCAAAGAAGATGATTATTAAACATTACATCTTGTTCAAATATACAAACGTTTAACGCTATCTCAGGCTACAAATTAAAATGCGTAGTATAAATCAATATACATTCACCTAAATCTGAATCTGACGTTCATTTCTTAAAACAATGGATTTACACAATATTTTCTCACCTTTGATTCTTTCTATCGCTTCAAACTTTTCTGATTTACAGATATATCAAATACAAGAGAAAGTTTTAATAACTATTTTGAAAAATTACTGCTTTGAATATTAATAAAGCTATCGCACAACGATATTTAACCAAATTTACATTAATTAAGGGAGAATTGTTCATTACACTTTGGCACCTTTAAAATGATTTAATGTATCTAAATAGATCAGTGACTATGATATAAAATAAAGATAGAATATATATATATATATTGTAATTATAAAAACAATTAAATTAGTCAACAACACTTTTGCATGTGGGAATCAACACAGCCCCATGCGTGTGAAGCTGCATTACTTGTGTCCAGGTTTACAAGCGTATTTAAAATCCATACAAATTAATGCCGCCAATGTAACTAACGTGTATGTCAAAACGATCTTCCATTTAAATTATATAAGTTGCTAATCTCCAGTACATAACTCTCAATAAGGAAGAGAATCACTGACCTTTAGTCTCTGCATTACTTGATTCGTGGAATACGTAAAGACAGTTTGTATGATAAGCTTACTTCTGTACTTTGGATTAATGTTCTCTGTTTACACAATAATCATATCGGTAAGATAAAACTGCAATTAATCTAATGCTGGATAGTTTTGGAAGAACTTTACTAGCTTAACTTAATCAACCACCAATTATTTGATCGTTAAGGATAGAATAATACACAAATCAGTAGAACAAATATTCTAAATGATTTGATCAACTACAACCCAGTTTATGCATAAAACACAGTTTGGTACTTGGAATGGTGTTCAAGAACTTGGTTTAACCAACAATAACTTTGAAAGGTTATACTTAAAATTTATACCCATTAACTATAATAAATTTATATTTATAAATTCATTATGGAAACTGGAACTTATTTCAATTATAATGGAGAAGATATTTCGTTGTATCATATTGAATACATCTTCATTTGTATTTTACACAAGTATACGCGAGGATGCCATTTCAATCCAATATTAAGGGTTGGGTTTGCTGACAAAATGATACCAATATATAAATCATGTTCAAAAACATAGTTAGCTAAGTTATGAAAATCTCAATTAAGTTCTTTAGAACACTGAAAATGCGTAAGATTCGTCATATAAATCTATCTTTGGTTTCAGAATAGTGACATATATCACATTTGGTTTTTGTGTTAATCTTTGGTCACAACAGAACAAGTAAGTTTAATAAATACACAAAAATCATGATTGCAACATATTTCATGTAACTTCCTATGACATTTAAGTTAGTTATGTGTAAGAAGTCAAGTTGTGCAATTACTGATTTAGATTATTCCTAAATAGAACACACCAATTGAGAATTAAAAGTTATGCCTATATGTTTATAATTCAATTGGACTCTGATCACTCCCACATAACTATGGGAAGTCTTTGGTGAGTATATGTTTTTGGCACGCTCGAATTTGGACAAGTGTGTCTCTTTGCACGTCAAAATTCTTTCCACTATATCATCTTGCACTTTCTTATGGGTTGCCTTCGGGATTTGGAAGTCGTACTAGTTACGTGAGCTACCATACTTCCTTGTGGGTTGCCTTCTGGATTTGGAGGTCGTACTGGTTGCGTGAGCGACTAACTATACTTCCTTGTGGGTTGCCTTCGGGATTTGGAAGTCGTACTGCTTGCGTGAACTACTAACTATACTTCTTTGTGGGTTGCCTTCTGGATTTGGAAGTCGTACTGGTTATGTGAGCTACTAACTATACTTCCTTGTGGGTTACCTTCTGGATTTGGATGTCGTACTGGTTACGTGAGCTACTATACTTTCTTGTGGGTTGCCTTTTGGATTTGGAAGTCGTACTTGTTACGTGAGTTACTATACTTCCTTGTGGGTTGCCTTCTGGATTTGGAAATCGGACTGGTTACGTGAGCCACGAGATTTTTCATCACTCTATTGAATTGGGATGACTCAGAAAACCACGTGTTAGTTGTTGTACACGAACAGACTCTTTGGCTAAGACACCTGAAGTTGATTCACAACCTGAAACACCTTTATCTGGTGACTGTTCTAATGATCAGGTTTAATTTAGTCGCGGTAAGGTTTGCAGTAACTGTAGCGGTGGTTCATGTGTTGACTGTAAGAACCTGAGTGGGAAAATCGTTTCAAACACTTTTTACACTGGAAAGGTTTTTCACCGCTGTGAAGACGTTTGTGTTCAGTGAGATGATGCTTATGTTTGAAGGCCTTGTTGCAAACATCACATTTGTGAGGACGCTGACCTGTTAACCAAATCAAATAAATAAATCATTATAGAGAAAAACCATAGCTTCATTCTTAGTACAATCATGAAATACGTGACACAATTTATTATTAGTATTATAAGTTAAAATCAACAATAAGTATATCATTGTTTTTATAACAAGACCACTAGTTTCCTCTAGTGGGAATTAACATTCTTTTTTTATACGAATGCATCTTAACAAAGTAATTCAGCAATGGAAAATAATTTATAATCAAGATGTCATCATAATAAATAATCAAAACCACATTTGTCATGATTTGGGGAACATCTAACTCTATGTATAAAGAGTTAAATAAATTCATTAAAGCATCCTTCTAAAACAATGTCGTTTTCCTTCAGTTTTTAGTATTTATAAAAAAACTTCCCAGGGAAAGTAAAGAAGAGTATTAATATATCAACCACACTATATCTTTTGTATCCAGTACCAACGAGGCCTTTCGCTCAACACCAGGGCTCATCAGACCAGCTGAGGTACTAAAGACACAGAAGTTGTTGAGACGCTATTTACACTATTAAACCGCTTGGCAACAACCGTTACTGTGTGGAATGGATTAAGTTTGTGAAGTGTAATTTGTTTTCAACGGTCGTTTGACAATAAAATAACGACATCATGAACTTTTTACTTTCGACATGTGTACTTGAAGTGAGAACACCCGTGTCTTTTTACTTTCGGCACGTGTATTTGAAGTGAGAACACCCGTGTCTTTTTACTCTTGACACGTGTATTTGAAGTGAGAACACCCGTGTCTTTTTACTTTCAAAAAGACACGGGTGTTCTCACTTCAAATACACGTGCCGAAAGTAAAAAGACACGGGTGTTCTCACTTCAAATACACGTGCCACTCTTGACACGTGTATTTGAAGTGAGAACACCAGTGTCATGTTTTTTCATTCCTCAGCCACGTATATTTGTTATTTTGTCCATTAATCTAAGTACGGAATGGGAGGTGTAGTTTTACCTAAAGTTAAAAAAATGACTTATTCGTGATTTATATCAGCAGGAAGCATACAGTTATATACATGCAAGTTGTCATTCACGGATTTAGTCATATGCGTATATTTACAGATATATAAGTACTAATTTTTTTTTTATATGTTTGTCGTTTCACCTTCTACTACCATCTCTGACAAGTAAAATTAAGCTTGAAGGTTAATATAATGAACCAAGATACACTGGCAAAGCATACACTTACAGGTAACCAAGTTAATAATACACTGTCTAAACTAGAAAAGCGTAATACATTACCATAGTCTGAAGATATGTGGATCAGGTAGTTAAAACACGATATTTTGAATAAAAATGTTTATTATCTTTCTTGTGTTTTTTTCAAGTTAGAAATTTCGACTACGTTAAATGCCAGTCTGTACACATATATGATTTTTATTAAATAAACTATAACCTTCAATAATTCTTCGGTTTGCCCAATGTCTACGTGGAACAGAAAATATTTATTTGTATCACATTTTTGTCTGTTAATAAGCTTTACCCTTATCAATGATATGTAAAGTCAATAATATAAAACACTAACTCTTACCTATTGGTAAAAAAACAAAAAAACAACTACAAATACATTAGATTTTAAACATTTCATCTCGTGGTGTTAAACATGTTGCATTTTTAAAATATTATGGTATTCTCATATTTTACTTTCATTTAACGAACGTTTCGATAATAGGATTGTTCAAAAAGGCAGTATTCCTAATGCATCCATAACTGTAGTTGTTTCCCTAAGAAATTACCTTTTTTAAACTAGCAAATTTGGACACTCTACGGGGTTCACACATTTATTTTCAAGTATAAAACATTAATTTTGTATCTTTAAAACATGTTTGTCAACACTGTTAAGAAATAAAGCAGTTAAATATATATACTATAATTTCTGTCGAACAACTGGAAATGTTCGTGTCGAAACTCAAGAAAATGAAGTTTCCAAGCTACTTTATAACATCATAATTTTGGTGAACAATTTTATTTTACCCCTTCTCAATCTATTGTTTCTTGTGTTTTAAATAAGTGCGATACGTGACAATATTAAAGTAAAAATAACAATCAAGAATCCCATTTGTTACCAAATAACTTATTGTAATTTATGTAAAACATAAAATATTGTTCCGTGTTCAAAACCGTATTGTGAAAGCTTACCGGAATGTTCGTATTTATGTCGAGCTAAAGAACTTTGTTTGTTGAAAACTTTGTCACATTCATCACAACCAAACAAATCATCTTCTCCATCTCCTTTCATTATTTTACTTTTTTTATTCTTCATTAAGGCTGCTGAATCGTCACATGAACCAGGGCTGTCATCTGGTGGACTGTGGAATTCGTCCGCTTCAACCTATTGAAATTAAAAAACAAACAAAAGAAAAACAGTTCTTAATATCAATTATGATATGCAGTCCGTTGTTATCACTGAAGGTTTCTTTTGCTATTTAATCTGACGTTTCTAGGATTCCACATATCGAATTTTCTTTGAACTATCATTAATATTCGACTTCTATTAAGAGCTCAGGAAAATTCAGGGTCTGAGATTAGAATCCTATATGATAGAAATGTTTTACAAAGATACAGATGTCAAGTGTTGTATACATGAATTAAAATTACACATATTATATATATTTATTTATAACATAACTTTTAAAGTTATGTTTTTTTATAATAAACTACAATTATGACAGACGCGAAAGCAACATGTGAAAAAAATAGCTGTGGGTGTGTTACTTGTTTTGAATCTACTTAAAAGAAATATATTAACTCAATATTCATTTTTGTAATCATGCAACATTTTTCACTGTTAGAAAGAAAGATATTTATAAAATGATGTACTTGAAGAAGCCATGTTTATATAAAGAAAACGGACAAGTTTTCATATTTAATTTACATTTCAACTTTCTGTAGGTCGGGATCTCCACTAATAAAAACGAGTTAACGGGAGAAAAAGATTTTCCCCCATTGCTAAATAAAGCCAGTGGTCGTGATTTTGGACCAAACTGCTCTTAATGTTTGATTTAAAATCTAACGTTGACGCTTGAGAAATTTCTGTAAAATGACGTCACATCTTATCCCTTCGAAGTATTGTCCTACTTGGCACCACTTTGTGCTAAATTCTTATCCACGTCTAAATTTTATCACATTCTTTCTAATGTCAAAGAAAACAGTACTGAAATGAATGAAAGAAAGATTACATGCTTCGTTAGAATTATCGTAATAATAAAAAAAACGCATAATTTCGTTTACGTCACACTCATAGTTTGCACCGGATAAAATTTGGAGGCACAGCAGAAAAAAGTTTGGGTTGCAGTTTCAAAATAATAATTCTACTTGCTCGACGTTTTAACGCAATTATTAGACAACTTTACAATATCTGAAATCATATTTTACTGAGTGGATAATATATCACTAAAAACATCTATAGATTTAACACGTTAGATGACGGCCTACACATAAAGAAGACTAACTATTAGAATAGCCCCTTAGTGGCTCAGCATTATGTCTGAAGGCTTATAACGCTAAAAACTTGGTTTCGACACCCGTAGTGAGCATAGCAGAAATATATCATTGTGCAGCTTTGTGCTTAACAACAAAGATATATCATACATACAAACTCTTTGAATAATTGTAGTTCTGTAAAACTATTCTTCTTTAGTTATGTACCAAACAAGATAATCTACCAACATTTACTGGCCTCCAGAAATTGTTTGTTTGTTTTGAATTTCAAACAAAGCTACACGAGGGCTATCTGCGCTAGCCGTCCCTAATTTAGTAGTGTAAGACTAGAGGGAAGGCAACTAGTCATCACCTCCCACCGCCAACTCTTCAGCTACTCTTTTACCAACGAATAGTGGGATTGACCGTCACATTATAACGTCCCCACGGCTGAAATGGCGACCCTCAGATAGCGAGTCGAGCGCCCTAACCACCTGGCCATGCCGGGCCTCATCCAGAAATATTCAATGTATTGCAAACTGAACAAAAGGGTAATGTAAAATCTGGAATTACACTTAAATGAAGGATCTACATCACCATATGTCAAAGGATTGTGAAAACGTTTCGAATTCCTAGGATTTAAGCAAATAAAAATAAGCAAACTAATGACACACACCTGTCTCCAGCTGTTTTTGTTCGGTATCCTAAGTTTTAGATTTCCTTCATCAGAACTAAGTTGTGTGTTTAGATCACCAAGAGAAGAAATTGTCTTGCCATCCACGTGTATGTTAAGATTTGTTGGACTGTAAGTACCTTCTCTACTGGCTGCGTCTGAAGGGGAAGGTGGTCTAATTGGGATTTCTCCACTAGTTGGTGACAACGAAGAAAGAGCGTGAGAAGACACTCGCGGAGTACTAATAGACGACAGGTCTGTTAAAATGAGTTCTCTTGGGAGATGTTGACGATGTCCATTTGTTCGCAAGTAATCATCAGTTGAATATACTTCATTGGGTTGGTTTGAGATTAGTTCTAAGGAAATATTATATCGCACAGGTGGGGAGCAAACTCTTGTAGTTTGGTATTTGGTAACGGAAGAGTTTTCTAATCTTTGTTCAATGGACTTGAAAGAATATTTTCTTTGTTGTTTTCCCCAACAATCTTTAAAGTTCTCAGACTCTAAACCATCATCATTTAAAACTTGTTCACTATATGAGTTATTGCGTTCATGCTGAGGAGTTGACCTGCGTGATGACCTTTGGCTGAGATTCAGCACTTCACAATCAGGAAGGGTAATTCTGCGCTTTACAGACAAATCTAGAGGTTTCTCAGCTTCGGCACTTCCGAGTGGCCCAAGTATACTATATCTGTCTTTTGATGTGGGAGGTGATGTGGAAGATAACACTGAAGAATGTGGATGAATATGATTCTGGTTGCTATCTGGAATGGTTCCGTTATAATGTGGAAGAGGAGAAGGTAAAGGGTTAAGAAAAGTTTGTGGCTTGTACTCTGGAATACTTATAGGGTGCTGTGAGCTATTTGGTAAAGGTTCGTGTGCATAAATATTTTTTCTTTTAGGAGAAGAGCATGGTGAAACACAAAGAAAAGGACTGGAATGACATTCTAGTGTTTTTAGATTCTGAAACCAAGAGTGCACATCCAGTGAGGTGCATCCTAGTTCTCTTGCCAGTTTCGTGATTTCAGATCTAGTTGGTTTAGGATTCTGCTTAAAGTATGCTTTTAATACAGAAACATTTTCATCATTTAATAAGGATCTTACAAGGACAGGATGTCTATGAATCATCACTTCTTCATTTTCAGCATACTCTATACATTGCTCTTCTTCACTTTCCGTTGACAAATGTGATGACTCAATTTTGGGATTTTTTAAACAGACGTCTTGGGTTTTTGGCTCTTCTCTTGCTTTCACATTACGAGTAGCTTGAACATCATGATGTTTATTCCGAGGTAGTTGAAATTTAGAATTTTTCCAACACGTGTACCTTTCGTGCTGATGAAGGGTGATGTCATTATCGAAGTTCTTATTACAATATCGACACTGGAACTTTTCCGCCTGGCTGGTATTAGGCTCGTTATCTTCAGTACTTCTATTATATCTTATAAGTTGTTTGCAATCAGCAATGTTTTCTGGAATCACTAATGGACAAGAACAAGGAGGTGTATTAAGAAGTTCTGGAAGAATACCATTTTGTCCAATACTATTTTCAGAAACTCGGTGTTGCTTAGACACAGTTGCATCAACGATTTCAAGTATCTTTTTTACAGCATTCAAGTCTCTTTTCGGTGGAAGGTTTGCAACTGAGGAAGACATAGAGGGATCAGTTTTTTCTTCTCCAGCTATGAGTTGAGAACTTGAGATTTCAGTTCTCGAATTGGACGGTCCAGATGGCAAAGAAAGTGTTAAAGAAGAGTGCTTTCTTAGTGACAGAAGAGAGGCAGTTGTTGAAGATTCAGTGTCTTCTAACGTTTGGGTTAAGGACATTCTAGACTGTAACAGATGTGTCATGTCTGCAAAGCCAGGTAGGGAAATATATTGTGGAGACATACCAGAGGACTGAAAGTGGCTGGCCAAAAGTGGATGAAAAGGAAAACCAGGACGGTAAGGTTCTACCGTATGTTGATAGTGACCTGGTTGATGTTTGTGATATTGTGATGGAGCGATAGAAGTGGGGAAATCATGAGTTCGCAGATAACCATCAGAGGTGAGCAACATACTTTCATTGTTGACTCCATGTTTTGGAATGATTGGGCGGAAAACATTATTCTGGCTAGTTCCTCTGTTGCGCGAGGACTTGCTATCCATTTTGCGAACCTGTGAAGAAACATATTTAAAATCCATATTACATAATTTCAAAATGTTATCAATGTTGATTTCATGGATACGTTAGGAAAATCAATATGTTAAATAATAAGATTAGATCTGAGTACGTTATTAATCATCAGATAATAAATTCTCAGATTTTGAATAAATCAAAAATTATACTTGCTAAATATGTTTAGAACCTTGCTTTAAAAGAAAATTTCGAAGTTCCTTATTTTACTAAGGTAACTGTTTTATAAATTCTCAGTAGGTTACAATTGTCTTACCTTATTTTATGGAATATTATTTAATCTTGAAAACCAACAGTTGCTAGTTGTCCAAGAAAGGACATCTTAGGCAGTGTTTTGTTCTTGAGTTTGAGTTTATTGTAGATAACATATGCTTAAATATTAAACAATTATCAGGTTTCAACTTTACGAAGAGGCAGGATAAAACATCTAACCAACAGATCAGCTTTATGAAACACTGACCAAACATTAAAGTAAATTAAAACCTCTATAGACTAAAATGCTATTGATGAAACTTAGTTGAATGGACAGCAACTGACTGCTGTAAAAATACAAGTGTAAGGACGACGTATCGAAAATCTTCCGCCTTTCGTCGTCAGACATTCGAAACGTCGTCCTCTACACTTGTGTTTCTACAACAGGCAGTTGCCGTCCATTCAACTAAGTTTCATCATGGATACTCTACCTAAACAATCTATAAAAAAATAAAATGCTATTTATTTGTATTTGGAGAATATCGAGCGTAAATATTTCAAAGTTAACACTGATGGATATTAAGCAGCTGTGTCGTCCCTACCAGAAAACAAGTACTTAGACACTTCTTGCTCTATAATTTGACTGGTGTCCCAAGGCTCATTATTAGGGACTAACATTAGTACAATGGGCTATGAATGTGATATGTGAAACGATTGCTCTCCTTCAGGGTAGCATAAATTCCTGCAAAACGAAAACTAAAGGCGTAAAATAAATCCTGAACACTTATCAACTACAAGCATTATACAACCATTGGTAAGGTAATAAGAAAGCTAAACTATGATGTATTTATTGACTCTACAGCAAATAATTACTTGGTAGTTTAAAATTGGTTATAGTAGCTTATATGTTAGGAATTTTCAAAACATAAGAAAAAAAGGGATAAAATATAGCATATGGAATACACAGTGACTTCCATTGGTAAGAAATACTCAAACAATACTCCAAACAACTGTTCAAAACTAAGGGTAGGCTATTAAGAAATCTTAAATCCCCCCTCCTTCGAAAAAACGAAATTTGTAACTATTAGTATGAGCTTACGAGTGAAAGTAAAAAAGTGGAAATAAATTGACAGTTTATTTATCAAATATCCTTGTAGTGAAATCCATTTTGGTAATTACTGTGTTGTAGCATAATTTGCTAGATGTTATTAACATTATCTGTTTTTTGTGTTTTTTGATGGGTACTGTTTGATATTGGAAATGGATCTGGTGCAACTTAGTTATTCAAAAAAGTTAATCTGATTATAGATTTTTGTCGCCCGTTAGTAACGAAGAGAGATTGTATTGCAAAGTTACTACTGATTCAATATAAAAAACGTGGTTGTCTTCTGTAGTGCTCTTGTAAAGTCTTAAATAAAAATTACTACTACTAGACAAAGAATGAGCACATTGATATTAACAAAATTTGATTTGGTCATCAAAACTATTACTAGCGCATTGTTTAAATGTCCACCATGCCATAGATATTTCTTCGTCAGAATAACAGATCAACATGACTTCGTTCATCAAAACTATTGCTAGCGCATTTTTTAAATGTCCACCATGCCATAGATATTTCTTCGTCAGAATAACAGATCAACATGACTTCGTTCATCAAAACTATTACTAGCGCATTGTTTAAATGTCCACCATGCCATAGATATTTCTTCGTCAGAATAACAGATCAACATGACTTCGTTCATCAAAACTATTGCTAGCGCATTTTTTAAATGTCCACCATGCTATAAATATTTCTTCGTCAGAATAACAACTCAACATGATTTCGTTCATCAAAACTATTGCTAGTGCATTGTTTAACTTTTCATTATCTTTTAGACCGAGCGTCGAGTATTCATGGTTCGTGTCTAGTTGCCGCGAAAACCGCGCTGAGCATTTTTGGGCCGAGAGCACATTATAAAACTGATGTTTAAAACATGAATGAATCAAATGAAGGAAATAATAAATTAACAAAACTTAAAGCAACGTGGACAAAATGAAGATCGCTAAAATACAGTGTTACTATGCGATGGAGCATAATGAGGCATGACATTCATATTTTCTTTTTTCAATAAAAAAGTTGATTGAGATAGAACAGCATTACTAAGTGAGGATATGAAATACAAACGGAATCATAGAAGAAAAAAAGAATCAAGAAATTGATGGAGAAACTTATTACAAAAACTATTAAAAAAGACACATAATTGATCAGACTGAGAAAAAAGTTAAGAATATAATGAAGTGTAAGCGGGATCTAAAAAAGCTACTTTGTCATCAACTATATTTTACACGCAAAAGAAATTTATGAAAAACAACTGTCGCAAAAACAGAGAGAATTAAATTTACTCAATATATCACTTGAGTCGCTTATACTGCAAGTCTTAAAGGTTTCATGAACTGTTGGTAAAGTAACTCATACATTTAGAGGAATTGTGAATTGTTAAAGTTCCAGGATTGATTTTTTAACTAATACAAGGGTTTAGGATAATTCCTTTATATTTTCGTGCTACTTGTGAGCCCCCCAGTGGTACAGCGGTATGTCTGCGGACTTACAACGCTAGAAACCGGGTTTCGATACTAGTGGTGGGCAGAGCACAGATAGCCCATTGTGTGGCTTTGTGCTTAATTCCAAAAAACAAACAAGCTACTTGTGATGACTTAATAGAACACTGAAGAATATGAATAAGTCCCGTATAGTACGGTCCATCTTCCTTCAGTTATGAGGAAGTGATAATTAGTAATGACAATAATAAATTTGCGGAAATTGTTGAATTCTAAATCTGTATATAATGTCAATAAGCATGATAAAAAATATATATAGTATGTGGATAAAGGTGAGGTTAAAGAAAGAAACAGATAAAAGAGATTCTGAAAATTTCAAGAGAAATTATAAGATGTAGTTAGCAATTCACAAAATATATAAAAATATGTTTATATAACATCGGATGTAATTGATCCAATAAATGGTCATTATGGGCCAAACTTATTAGTTAGGTTACTGACATCTCATTTCTGTTTCATTCTACATTACAGTGTGTGCTATAGTTTACATTCTTCTCATTTGCTCTTGTAACATTTATCTTGCTTACCTGACTACTTTCTTTAAAGATTTATTTCTGCTATTATTTACCTGCTTTGTTATATCAGTATTTTTCTATAAATACATAAGTATTCTTTAACAATTCTGTTTAGAAGAATAAAACATGCTGTTCGATTTACTATAGGTTAGAAAACTGGCAAGGTAAATATGTATTACATCTACGTTTTGAAAGTTTATCCATTATATGCTTATAATTCGATTAGAAATGTTGTAACCGTTTGAATTTTTCAGTTGTACTTTATGATTTCTCTGTTCGTTTAGGTTGGTTTATTTTGATAATTTAAAAATCTTACCTTCAAGTTCATAACGAGGCACTTCTTGCTTGTCATGTGAGAAGAGTAAGAACCAGAATGAGAGAATCTCTTGCCGCAGTTAGGGCAGGCGAAAGGCTTTTCTCCGCTGTGGATCCGGATGTGTTCCTTCAGATGATGCTTGAACTTGAAGGCCTTGCCGCATTCCGGACATTTGAACTTCCGAAGCACCGCGCTCTCGTCATGGCTGATCATGTGTCGCTGTAGACGGTAGACGTTGGCAAAGCTCTTATTGCAAATCTTGCAGGACTAGACAAGAAAGGGGAGGAGGGAAAAGTGGCTAGAGGGCCTGGCATAACTTAGGGGACATTAGGGTTAGCTGAATTAGTGGACGGGTTTGACTACTTCCTGCTAAAAAGGTAGTTTTGTTAATCTATGAGATAGACCAGAAAAGTATAAGAATAGACAGGCAAGCTATCCAGAGTGAATGATCGAAAGGAAAGAGTTGGATGTTTTGTAGGAAATACTTAATAGTAAAGCTCAAATACCTTATCTCTTAGTCTATGTGGCTGCAAATAAATGTATTAGACTTGAAAGCAAAGAGAGGTAAAATTGTAGTTTTGTAAAAATAATTAAATAAAAACTGATCATGAAAGTAGCATTATATATTTCAGAAAACCAATTATCTAGAGCTTCTTATTGATATTTATTTGCTGAATCAAACATTTGAAGTGAAATTACTAATTTCTGTTTGTTTGTTATAAATACAAAACACAGCAACAAAGTGTGATTTCTCAAACGTGAAAATGAAAATATTCAACATAGAACAAAGAACTTATGATGCGGAATATTACTTTCAAAATTGTATACAGGCTGATTTTGGAATCTCTCGACGTCTTTACAGCTCATGTCGCCACGTTCGGTCATGCTGTATCTGAGGTCAGTGCAGCTTTAAAATAACCCTGCAGTATAACTTTCATTGCAAAAGGCACTATCGTATGGTCTTCCGGTGAGTCAGCGATAAATCTCTAGATTTACAAGGCTAAAATCTGGTATTCGATTCCCCGTAATAGAGAGAGTGCGAACAGCCAATTGTGTAGCTTTGGGCTAAAAATCATCACCAAGAATAATTATCATATTTATCATGTCCAAAGCACACAACTTCATCGTTGTCTGCTTTCCATAATCCATCTAGTGTGCGAGATCAATTATTTTCCAGCGCTCGTTTCAATGATCCAATCGCACAGAAATTCATTGGCGCTGCTCTCAGCAAGTTGACTAATATGTATTCGTATGAAATAGTACGAATTACTGTTTCATTTTTCATCTGCTTGAGGTATGTGAATGGTTGAATGGATATGTTGTGCAAGCAACTTGTGTACATATGACTTGTCTTTTTTTCAGGCGTAAATCCTTCTTGATTGTGTTGTGAACTGTTGCCTGAGGCACGTAAACGGCTTTTGCCACTGGCCTATGCTGATGGATTCTCAAGTATTACAAGAAATCGCACATTGCTTACTACAGCTGGGGTAGGACTTCTAACATGTCTCGTTCTGGTTACCTAAGTCGATCGCTATTCATTTTCTTTGCAATGTCATTAAGTACAAAGCATATTCCGATATTGGAAATTATAACCCCTCGATCTGAACACATCTTTATGATCTAAGTGTAGGAATATTTTAACTCAGAAAGAGTTGTTACATACCTTCCAAAAAATGAACAACTTTCAGTCGCATCACACTACCTACAAAAAGGACTGTTACATTCCTTCCACAATATGAACAACTTCCAGTCGCATCACACTACCTACAGAAAGGACTGTTACATACCTTCCAAAAAATTGAACAACTTTCAGTCGCATCACACTACCTACAAAAAGGACTGTTACATTCCTTCCACAATATGAACAACTTCCAGTCGCATCACACTACCTACAGAAAGGACTGTTACATACTTTCCAAAAAATGAACAACTTCCAGTCGCATCACACTACCTACAGAAAGAGTTGTTACATACCATCCAAAAAATGAACAACTTTCAGTCGCATCACACTACCTACAGAAAGGACTGTTACATTCCTTCCACAAAATGAACAACTTCCAGTCGCATCACACTACCTACAGAAAGGACTGTTACTTACCTTCCAAAATATGAACAACTTCCAGTCGCATCACACTACCTACAGAAAGGACTGTTACTTACCTTCCAAAATATGTAAAACTTCCAGTCGCATCACACTACCCACAGAAAGGACTGTTACATACCTTCCAAAAAATGTAAAACTTCCAGTCGCATCACACTACCTACAGAAAGGACTGTTACATTCCTTCCACAAAATGAACAACTTCCAGACGCATCACACTACTTACGCAATGCCAAACGATGTCAAATTTAGTTCTGATACATGTTGTTTCACCGTGACTTTATATCGACAATAGTTGTCATGAGAGTTGCTGATTTCCTTATACAAAGCCTTTTAATATTACTTACACAACCCTGTTTTTTTAGAAATGGGAGTTATAACAAATTGTGAATTGATGACTGTTCCTTTTACTTTTATAATTTATTTCCTGGGAGTGTTTCTATCATTTCATTTTTAATCTCTTCAGTATATCTTATAGTTATTTTTTGTTGTGTTTTTTTTTGTGATTAAACACTGTTTGAATTGCTTGGATTTTAAGTTTGTTTGCTTATTTGTTTCAGTCGTAATTTAGAACCCTCGTGTCTAACTTCGTATTAGTAAAACTAATTTAAGACGAACTTGGTAATTTGAAACAAATATTTTTTTCTTGCATAATTAATAGCTTCAAAAGCTTTACTATCATATATAAACCAAGTAGGATTATAAATGTTTGTTTGTTTTTTTCGAATAGAAATCATTTTAAAGTAGTTATGAAATTACATAAATTATTCTATCACAAAGTCTACGGGATATAATACTTAATTCTACGACAAAATTAAAATCTTAAATTTTATTAAGGTTGGTGTGATCTCAATAAAATATCTTATATGTATATATAGTGTCAACGACTTGATTTATTCAATGATAATTTCATCAGTTTATTTGCTAAATGGGAATTTATGAGCACTTACATAACAAGATACCATTAAGACATAAAAAATAATATTTTCTAAATTCAGTAATTAAAAAAACATACCTGACTGGCAGCATCGTGAATTAGTTCGTGTTTGTCGAGATGTTTTGGATCAGGGAACGAGATTTTACATTTGGTACAAACGTGTTTCTGATCATCTTCTTTTACACCGGCGCTACCTACATCGGGGTGTGCGTCTCTTAGATGGTCTCGAAGAGCATACAGAGCATGCTGTCCTGTGTAGCTTTGTTCACAATTAGTACAACTCACTGTATGATCACTCACTATTTTGGAAGCGCCTGTTTAGAAAAATAAAAAATATAATCAGCTACAAATATGAAATAAAAATACACCATTTGTATTTCATTGGAAAAATCAACATCAAGCGTACAGATTAAAAATAACATTAAATTAGCATCTATGTCAACCGGTTTATTTACTTTAAAAAATTAATATGATCACGTGTTTCTATCACGTTAAATCCTTTACTACCAATATACACTAACAAAAATCTTTTAGTTCTCTTTCCTTTCTGACTAGACAAGAGGAATGAGTGAGAATAAAATGAAACAAACACCTATTACAAGTCATCCGATAAATGTAAATTAACTAGTCCAGTTAATCAGTTCTAATTTAAATCATTTTTACGGTAATCTACATCACTTTATATTAGCTCTAGTTTAGTTATTCCGTTTGAATTTGGGCTATCAAAACTACAGAACACCAGGTAAATGAGTCACAGCAGGATTATGTTTGCGAAGTTGACATCCGATCAGTGTAACGACTTCTATTCCTGTCGCGCGTGAATCCAATTCCAGTTATCAGTAGCAAATGAGAAATTTGTCACGTCCGTCCGTCAGGCTACCCCTGACAGAAGTATCTGATAGCATCTTTATCTGCATCATGCCAAGTTAGAGGAAGAGAAGGAATCAGTCGTGATGGATAATATGTAGAATTCTAATACTCCTGCGTATCATTCTTTCTTTAAAGCTGACTAAATATTGCTTGAATTAGTGTCCGAGTATCATTCGGAAGTCTCAGCACGTATATATTTGATGACAATTCTGAACATATTCATAACAGAGAAGAAAAGAAAAAAAAGTGAAATGAAAACAAAGCGACAAACTAAAAACACAGTTTTTCCATTGTGAAATGTGAAGATTTTGGGTGAAACAACTATTTAAAGTTTCAACATATTCAAGAATCTAAATTTACATTAACATGCCTTAAACTTCCAGTAAAAAAATTAACTTCATTAGACAAAGGTGAAGGATCAGCAAACAATCTCACAGGTTATTTTTGTTGTTGTTGTTTGTTTATTTGTTGAATTTCGCGCAAAGCTACACGAGGACTATCTGCACTAGCCGTCCCTAATTTAGCAGTGTAAGACTAGAGGGAAGGCAGCTAGTCATCACCACCCACCGCCAACTCTTGGGCTACTCTTTTACCAATGAATAGTGGGCTTGACCGTCACATTATAACGCCCCCACGGCTGAAAGGGCGAGCATGTTTGGTGTGACGGGGATTCGAACCTGCGACCCTCAGATTGCGAGTCGAGCGCCCTAACCATCTGGTCATGCTGGGCAATCTGACAGGAGCCCAGATTATCTATGTTTACTATTTACTGTAGGATATGGAAAAGTATTGCAATTGCTAATGTTAATTTAAGAGGGTGTTTTATGAGAAAAATTAGATAAAATATTTAATATTTTTGTAAAAATCGACAAGAACGTTATTCACAGTCAAGTTCTATTTACTCAGAACCCAAGCCACACGTGCTTTAACCCTAGCTGTTTTCATTCCATCTCTATCTCAATATGCAGTTTTGTAATATCAAAGCGAAGAAGCACTGCCTTCATAACACTATGCTTCTCTATATTTTGATGTAATTCCGAAAAAAGTATAGTTACAATGCACTTGGCATTAAAGTTTTTATCGGTAGAAAAAGTATGCAAGCATCAATCCTAAAGAAAAAATAAACAAATATTTTTTTGCGAGAAAAAGTGATTTGAAGTTCCTAAGTTTTCATTCCAATAATTCGAGATAAAAGTGGGCATAAATATCAATATATTTGGCATTTCAGTATCGGAAAGTTTTCCTCATTTCAAATCTTTCTACATGCTCCTCAAACGATCAAGATTTACAAAAATAGTGTTTGTGTGTTATATGAGAACACCACTACACAACCGGTAGGAGTGGGAAGGTGCTGGAAGAAAAAGTCTACCAGCGACAAACAAGTAGTTCAGGTAAAAAAAAAAACATCAGCAAATCTTAGCATGCATGAAGTCGCCCGCCAATATTGGCATCAACTCGATCACAAAGGACGCCTGGAACAGATCTGATTAGCATGTTAATAGGAGAGCACCTGTGCTTCTCCCCAGCCAAAAGATAAGACCTAACAGCGCCATTCTCGACGGCCGTTTATGACTGTGACGGGTGAGACACGACAACTATCCCTGCGATAGCCCGGAACTGATAAGGGTTCGGATGCACGCTCTCGGCGGCCAGGAGAGAGCCTTCTAAATGGGATGTCATTCAATCTGTGCTAAGCATGAAAGAAGGAGAATATATGGAGATGAAGAATATACTCGAAAGTTTCTCGCTTCCAATTACAATGACTTCCCTCTAACCAGGGTGAGTAATTGTATCAATGAGATATGATCTTTGTGTTAATCATGTTGACCAGAACGATATTTGGTTTAATCCATAATTCTTTTTCCAGCCAAAATAACAAGACAACAAATCACATAATCACTCCTTGAAAACGGAAGAAACCCAAAAGCAAAACTGGATATCTGAAACCAGATGATAATCTAGAATATGTATTTGAAAACTAAGCACATACTCCGTCATAAATATTAAAAGGAAAATATTACAACATTTCCATTGGAAAGGAAGATTATATTTCTTTAATAAATTAAAGTGATTAGATAACTTATGGTAATATAATGAATTTCCTTGGCATATCTTTCTGAGTTTATCCTTAAAAAGTTTCAAAACGGACTTTGTCATTTACAACAAAAAGTAAAATATGAAACTATAAAAACGAATTAAGAAAAGAGTTGAAAATATCAGTTCAATACACTTTACATCATATCACTTATATGTCAAAATGTTGTTATATTCGTGCAAAGATGCATAATGGACCATTAGCATACTGTCCACCGCGAAGAATTAAACCCCAGACATTTACGTTGTAAGTCCAATGACTAACGCTGACTTACAGAGTAAGGAGAATAAAGCATTCTTATCTTGAATTGTGCAATCTGTAAACATTTATTTATGTCGTTTAAGCTAAGCCTTTAAATTATTTACACACACAGACATATTGCTTATATCCAGAACTGACATAACCACATGAAAACAAAGACTACTTGGTGAATCGAATGACAGATTGGACTTCATATTTATTTTAATATATTGAACAATTTGTCTGCTAAATAATTCAAAAGCCTAAATTAGTAGCATAAATTATACATATTATTGGAATCCTAAATAAACATAGATTGACTGGCTTGAATAATAGGACACTATTTACGTCATTAAAAGAATCAGATTGTTCATATTATCTTCAGTTAAAATCGTAATAGTTTTTACGTTTGTATATTTTAATTATAGATAACACAAACTCTGGAATCAGCTCAGTTAGCTCAAGATAATTGTCTTTAGAATTACAGGATCACAATGACTGGCATTTCCCAGTGCTCGAAAAATGTACACGTACTGATCATAATTGTAAAAATGTATTCATACCTGAATATACATATAAATATAAATACCTGAATATTGATATTAAATATAAAATTTGTCCACTTGTAACATACATTTCATTGTAGTTATGCATATCTTAATAAGCAAAACCTCATCTCTGCGATATTTTACTGAAAAGTATAATAATTCAAATGAGTTAACGTAACTCATTGCTGCTTTTGATGAATTCCAAAGGAAGTAAAATATAAAGGAAGATAACTCTGCTTACAACGTTAGGAAACTCAGTGGAATGGAATAACAAGAAGAGTTGTCCCTCCCCATACAGTTGGTGAAAAACAACCAATGTAATTTGAAGTGTCGTGAGAGACTATGCTAGTCACGTGAATCTCACGAAAAAGCTCAACCATGCCGAATAGCGACAAGCATGTAAGAAAGCGTTGCCGACTGCTGATGTCGTATTGCGTCAACAACCTGCAGTTTTTTTTAAGCAATAGAAATTGTTCAAAGCATCACAATACCGTAACTAAACAGACGAGTAGTGTAATAGTCAGCTAAAAAAGAAAAATGAAGAGAAAGTAAAGAGACAAGGAAAAATAATGACCAGAAGAAAGATGGAAAAGTAAAATGAGTCGTTGCAGGATTGAGGGGCAACATATACTCCTAATTATAAAATTCTAATTTCCAACTTCGTCCTACAAGTGGGAATTACCAATAAAGACTCGATCTGATAGTCATTACATCCCAACAACTGCTTCAGTCTTACTTCTAAAGTTTATGCACAATTTCTGTATAAATGTCCTATATGTGTGACGTTGGCTTTTTGTACTGGTTTGTATAATTAAAAAAGAAAAGAAAAAGTTTACATCAAAAACCAGGACACACTGCATAACTACCCACCTTATGGTGTGTTCCCAGGTGGTACATGTCTGTTTTGTAGCTGCGTTGTTTCTATTTTACTTTTTTGACTTTCATTTTCTATGTAATATTACAATTAATTATATATATATATATACTTATATATTATTCCACACAGCTAAGATAAAAAGAAAGCATCGCTCATTTAGAAAGTAGACCCTAAACAGTCGTACAGACAAGCTGTCTGCCAGATAAAACCTCTATTTACAAACTTCATGCGTGAAATAACATCTCAACTTCTAAAATAGGATCTGTTTGTTTTTAATTATGCACAAAGCTACACAAGGGCTATCTGTGTTCTGCCGACCATGGGTATCGAAACCCGGTTTTTAACGTTGTAAGTCCGCAGACATACCGCTGTACCACTGGGGGGCTATAAGATAGGAGCACACGTGGTTTCTCAAGACTATATCCCAAGATACATTTCTTTGTCTGCCAGCAGTTATGAGAAGTTAGTTGCTTCTAACAAAGTGAAAATCATAATGAAGTAAAATCATGATACTTCACCGGAAGTATGAAATGGCATTTCAGCCTCTCTGATGGTCCCATACCTGTAGAAACAGCATAATGAAACGTAGGCAAGAACGTATTATAGAAAGAATATTGAAAATTCTTTTGTAATTATAATAATTTAGTAAAATATATATATTTATGCGTGCGTACGTGCGCATTG